TAAAAGGGAAAAATATTTATATCAATGAAGAATACTGCGCTGAAACTACAATTATAAGAAAACAGCTTCGAGAACAACTAAAAAAAGAACGAGAAGGCGGAAAATACGCAGTAATACTGTATGATAAACTAATCATTCGCGACTGGACTCCCAAAGAAAAGTAAAAAGTTTATGTTTTTATTTTATTTTTATTGCTTAAATTCCTATTTTAAAATGAAAACAAACTTATTATCTAATTTTAATGCTAAAAATAACACATCTAATGATTATGACATAAATAAAATTAATGCTTTTCAAATAAACAAAAGTATACTTTTAGAAAAAAATTCTGAATGAAATATTAGCTTTTATAAGGATGGGGACGGGATGGAAAATATAAGCTCTTATTATTACAGTTCAAACATTTCAACAATAACTGCTAACATAGATGATAATTCATACTGCATCTAAATATAAGGAGTATACAAAAAAATTTTAATAAACTTAAGGAATTTTTATTTAGAGTCAAAATAAGTTTTCAAATTATAAGCCTAACAGAAACATGGTGCCGGATTAAAGAAATTGAGCAGCCGTGGCGCAGTGGTAGCGCACTTGTTTCAGAAACGTAAGATCCGTGGTTGAAACCCCACCTCTGGACAAGTTTTGCGACATCGGTTGGGAAGGAGGCGTGAACTTTCTATTAAATGCTCTTCCGCGGTGCTCTGTGATAAGACCGTAAGGACTTCTTGGCGCACCTAAATCAACATAAAAAAAAAAACAAAAAAAAAAACAAATTGAAAAAAACTCTAACTTTCAAATTAATAATTATAAAGTTATTCATCAAGTAAGAGGATCTAAAAAAGCAGGAGGAGGAAAGTGCATTTTTATACACAATTCTTTAGATTTTAAACTTCGTAATAAATTGTGCTCAATAACAAAAGATTATGAGCTATTAACGATTAAGGTAATACACAACACCAGCAAAAACATAATCTTGCACGTCATATATAGACCGCCTTCAGATAATATAAAAGTATTCAACAAACACTTTAAAAGTCTAATTACAAAAAGATGTTTGAGGCAAACTAATTTATTTTGTGGGCGATCTCAATTAATACTTGCTCGATTATGAAAAAAATAAAAACGTCAGAAATTTTACCAATACTTATTTCAACATGGTTATTCCAACAATTAACAAACCAACACGCATAACAAAAAATAGTGCTACAATAATTGATCAAATCATAATTAACAATTTCAAAAACATAAAACTTAAGACTGGAATATTTATCACTGACATTTCAGAACACTTTCCAGTGTTTATAATTTCACAAAAAAACATCAACAAAATATCAGGAAAAAATAAAATTGAAAAGCGAATTATTAATGATTCATCCATTAATACTTTTAGAAATCAGTTGTCCACGACAAATTGGGAAGTTCCCAGTAAGCACAAGACGCATTTTAGACACTTATAGACGTCTAAAACTAGTCTAATTAAAGACGCACTTTTATAGACGTTTTAAAGACATCTTTTAGACGTCTTTTATAAATGCGTTTTTAAAATGACGTTTAAAAGGCGTCTTTTTAAAAGATAAAAAGACGTCTAGAAGACGTCAATTTTCAAGACATCTTCTAGACGTCTTTTATAAAGGCGTTTTTAAAATGACGTTTAAAAGGCGTCTATTTAAGCGTTAAAAAAATGTCTAGAAGATATCTTTTTATAAGACATCTTCTAGACGTCTTTAATAAATGCGATTTTAACATGACGTTTAAAATGCGTCTTTTTAAAGTGTAAAAATACGTTTAAAAGACGCGTATTAAATAGTCTAAAATACGCATTAAAAGACGTCTAGATCAAAGCTAAAAGACGTCTTTTCTGAGACCTGTTTATAAATATGTCATTGTGACTTCTTTTTGACGGCTTTGTCATTACGCGTTAAGTAGATGTCGTATATTCAAAGTAAAAACATAGTTTTTATTATTTTCAATAATTTGTTCAACTTTTAAGTGTAAATTACTTTAAATTAAATTACTTTTTTACACAATTGCTAAAATTGTTGTCACAGGAATCACTAAAATAATTGCTATAATAATAATAATATATCTTTTTTTTATTAATAATTATTTTGCTTTTTTAATAGATAGTTGACTGATCATGATAATAAGTGAAAATGGCAAGAATAATATATAAGTTAAATATCAGTACTTTTAGTTTTTATACACCCACAAGCCATATAATAAGTCAAGTATGCGGTCAAAAATTTTATCATTACTTATCATTACAAAAGTATTATCATAACTAACGATAAGTTATAAATGTTTTAAATACTGTTTTGATATATATTTGATATACGTCTAAAACGCGTTTTTATAAAGACGTTTTCATTTAGACGTCTTTTAGCCTTATGATCTAGACGTCTACAAGTGCGCCTTTTAGACCTCCTTAAAGACATCTTTAAAACGTCTTTTAAACGTCTTTGTGCCTACTGGGTTATTTTAAAAATTAAAAATGCAGAGGAAACTTTTGATAGGTTTCATAGCATATTTCAAAGCCACTATAATGAAGCTTTCCCAGTTATTAGTAAGTTTATCAAAATCAAATCCCAACAAAATCCTTGGATAACAACGGGAATAATAAAGTCATCAAAAAAAAAACAACGATTACACGAAAAGTTTATAAAAAAAAGAACTTATGAAAACAAAACAAAATGTAAAAATTACAAACGGCTCTTCGAAACAGTTAGTACTCAAAAAGACAGTACTACACTAATCAGTTACTTCCCAGCAAACAAAAAGACATCTTTAAGCTGTCTTAAAGACGTCTTTTCAAGATTAACAAAAACGTCTTAAAGATATCTTAAAAAGGTCTACGTTGTCCGTCGAAAAGACGTCATACTCAAGATTGTTTAAAGACGTCTTACTAAAGACTGGTTTAAAACGTCTTATTTAAACGGCCTAAAGACGTTTTATTCAAGACATCTTTTAGTTGTTTAGTTTAAATAAAAATTAGCGTCTTAAAGACGTCTTAAAATAGCTAAGTAAATAAAAGACGTCTTAAAATAGCTAAAAATAAGTTAGCTGGATTGTATTTTTCTATATAACAACTTATACAGCATATAACATATATACAACAAAAATAATAAAAAATAATGATTCATTTTAGTTTGTATTTTTCCGCGATGGAGCATTTTTTGAAAAATCGTCCAATTTGCTGTTTAGTATCAGCGTTTGAAACTTTTTCAAACTTTCTTTTTACAACTTCTAAAAATCAAATAAAATTTACAGATAAAATAGTAAGATGTAAACTAGCCAAATAATTTTGTCGAACAAAAATCTTGAAAATAATTTTAATTTAACACAGATATTTAATTAAAAACTAAATAATATTAAAAAATATTAATATGTTAAAACTCTTTTTTATTACCTTCCCAGTAAGCACAAAAACGTTTAAAAGACGTTTTAAAGATGTCTTTAAGAAGGTTTAAAAAGCGCACTTGTAGACGTCTAGATCATAAGGCTAAAAGACGTCCAAATAAAGACGTCTTTATAAAAACGCGTTTTAGACGTATTTTAGACGTTTATTTTAAGATGAATTTAAGTACATGACGTAACATTTTCGCGTAGTATGTGGTATATATTCATTGTATTTATACGTCATATATTGTTATAATTTCGTATATACAAAATATACATAGGAACCAGCAATCTAAATAATATAGCTATCACCACCAACGGTTGATGATGCACAAAAGAAAATAATAAATAACAATAACAATTGTATATCAAAACAGTATTTAAAACATTTGTAACTTACCTTTAGATATATTAAAATTTAACTTATGTATTGCTAGCTAATTTTTGACAGCATACTTGACTTACTATATGGCTTGTGGGTGTATAAAAACTAAAAATACTGATATTTATTTTATATATTATTCTTGCCATTTTCACTTATTATCATGCAGGGGCGGACTGGCCATGTGGAAGATGTGGACTATTCCACATGGGCCGTTTTCATAATCTCATAAAACTATTCCACATGGGCCGTTTTCATCTCTTTTCCTCATTTTTCGTTGGCCTACAGGGCCGTTAAAAATATTTTTCCACATCATAATAATTTGGCCAGTCCGCCCCTGTTATCATGATCAGTCAACTATCTATTAAAAAAGCAAAATAATTATTAATAAAAAAAAGATATATTAATATTATAGCAATTATTTTAGTGATTCCTGTGACAACAATTTTAGCAATTGTGTAAAAAAGTAATTTACACTTAAAAGTTGAACAAATTATTGAAAATAATAAAAACTATGTTTTTACTTTGAATATACGACATCTACTTAACGCGTAATGACAAAGCCGTCTTTTAGGCTTGATCTAGACGTCTTTAAATGCGTTTTTTAGACTATTTGTTATGCGTCTTTTAAACGTCTTTTTAAACTTTAAAAAGACGTCATTTAAAAAACGCCTTTATAAAAGACGTCTAGAAGATGTCTTTAAAATTGACGTCTTCTAGACGTCTTTTTATCTTTTAAAAAGACGCCTTTTGAACGTCATTTTAAAAATTTATAAAAGACGTCTAAAAGATGTCTTTAAAACGTCTACAAAAGTGCGTCTTTACCTAGACTAGTTTTAGTCGTCTATAAGTGTCTAAAATGCGTCTTGTGCTTACTGGGTTCTATTACATCATATTGTTTAGTTGATGATAAAACAATCTTTCCAAAAGAACCTTTAAATTGTGTCAATAGGGTATTTATAAATAATCTATAACAATTTAAACAATTGTGTTTAAATTGTGTCAATAGGGTATTTATAAATAATCTATAACACATAATGAATAAATATAATTTATGAAAAATAAGCAATTTACCATCCCAACGGGCATTTTTTATATATCTTACGTTCTGAATGTATTTTAAGAAAGTATTTAGTATTTTACATGTATTTTAGAAACATTAAAGATTTTTTTTTTTAAAAAAGAAGCAAATAATTTAATAAGGTACATAAAATACAGCTAGTTGGATTGTTAATTAATATCTTTCTATATAACAATTTACACAAAATAAAAAAGATTTCTATATGAAAATTTACAGAAAAAATAAAAAAGAATAATTCGTTTTATTTATTTTTTTCCCGCGAAGGAGCATTTTTACAAAAACGTCCAATTTGCTCTTTAATTTCAGCATTTGAAACCTTTTCAAACCTTCTTTTTACTACTTCTAAAAATCAAATAAAGCATAATGTAGGATGTATTCGTCAAATATATTGAAAAAAACTTAACATAGATTTTTAATTAAATTAAAAGTGCAATAATTAAAATTTATTTTTGACCTTCTATTACATCATATAGTTTGGTTGAATGTAAACCAATCTTTCCGCCAGAACCTTTTAAGTTGAACTGTGTCAACAGGGTATTTGTAAATAATCTTTAAAACATATCAAATACACAGTAAAATTTATGAAAAATATTAAACAATTTACCATTATTGATTTCCAAAATTACTAAACCTAAAAAAAATTGACAACAAAAAAGTACAAATATGATAGCCATTCAAAAAAATAATACTAAAGCCTATTCATGACCAATCTTGTCAGTTGTTTAAAATCTTCGGCACATAAAAAACTGAGTTGTTTAACCTAAACAAAAGTTAGAAAAAATAATTATAATACAATAACTATTTTTATTTTTTAATTTATATAGATAAACTATTTACCAAATCAAGTCTAACACAATCATCCACTAAACTTTTGTTAAAGTCCTCAAACTCTGCAATTGTTTCTAACTGCTTAATTGCAATATTACTTTGTGATTGCTTGTTTAATGCTAAAATAAGCTCTTGCTTTTCAAAACCCTTTGAAAGCATCTTGAAAATCATGTGCTGGTATTCTAAATTATATGAAGAAAATGAAAAAAGAAATATATTGAATGCAAAACATTTATTTATACAATTTCAAAAATATCTATAGCTATTGTTTTTATTCCTAAAATAATCCAAGTACAAAAAATATTATTTTGTTTCCTCCAATATAAAAAATCAAATAAATACTTAAGGACTTACTTCCAACTTCCATAGGAAATTGATTTTTAACTAACTTCTCTGGTACAAGCGCAGTTTTTTGTACATCTGTTTTCAGAAGCTTTTTTTTGGATTCTTGAGATTCGGGAGATAAAACTAAAGCAAAAAAAAATATATATATATACATAAATGTATATATACATATTTATATATATAAATATATATATATATATATATACATATATATACATATAAATATATATACATATATATAAATATATATACATATATATATATACATGTATATATGCATATAAATATATATATATACATATAAATATATATATATATATACATATATATAAATATATATACATATATATATATATATATATATATATATATATATATATATATATATATACACATATATATATATATACATGTATATATGCATATAAATATATATATATACATATATATACATAAAAATATATATATATACATATATATAAATATATATACATATATATATATATATATATATATATATATATATATATACATGTATATATGCATATAAATATATATATATATATATATATATATATATACATATATATACATATAAATATATATATATATACATATACATATATATAAATATATATACATATATATATACATGTATATATACATATAAGTATATATATATACATATACATATAAATATATATACATATATATATATATATACACATGTATATATATACATATAAATGTATATATATATACATATAAATGTATATATATATACATATATATATATATATATATATATATATATATATATATATATATATATATATATATATATATATATATATATATATATATATATATATATTTATATATATATATATATATATATATATATATATATATATATATATATATGTATGTATGTATTTGCTTTAATTTTACCTCCCAATTTGTTTTTTTTTCATTTGCAAAGTTTTTCAAAAATTTTTGATGCATTTTTCTCTGACATTTTTTTATTAAAACCCTCCCCAAAATCACAAAAGTTAGGAGAAGACTCATGGTTTTCTAATATAGAGACTTAAAATAAAAACATAAAAATTTTTTATATATGTTGTCTACAGAATATATATTATAGGAAGCACAATTACATGTTGTCTACAAGCTGATTTTGAAGGAAAACAAATTTGTTATCAAAATACAAAAAACTAATACAATTTTCAAAAGTAGAAATTTTAGATAAAAACTATCAGATATCGACAGGGTTAGGTCCAGGGTTAGGTCCAGGGTTAGGTTTAGGACAATGTACCCAAACAAAAATTTGATTGTTCCATTCCAGTTGTGAAGGTAAAAAACTTAGGCAAAGCTAAAATTAACAATAAAAGAATATTCAACTTTAATAAAGAAAAAATTTAGATAAAAAAATTCAAAACATACATAATGTACCAGAATAAGATGTAGATTGTTCCTCTGTAATTGAATGTTGAGGTAAAAAAGTGTCTGACAAAGCTAAAAACATTAAGCAATATTTTAGATTGAATAAAAAAATAAATTTTGAAAAAAATTTAAAATTAATAGACAAAGTCTACACACAACACAGATTTGATTGTTTGAAAGAAGTAGAACCAGGAGATAAACTAAAGTCAAAGGATCTCTTTAATGGATTTTTCTCCACAGATTTAAAAACTGGTGGAGGCAAAGGAAAATCAGGTAACTCTAAAATATAATAATTTTATTATTTATTTTTCATATAGTATTTAAAGAAGTATATCAATTTACGATATAGATTTCATATTAAAAAAAGAAAAAGAAATAGTAAACAAGAATATAATTATATAATGCAAATACACAATTAGCATTACTTTTCAATTTAAAGGCACTTTTGGAAACACAAATATCTACTACATCTTCCTCCTCTGCTGCAGTGGTGTAACAATATTCTTTCAGCTCCTCCATATTATCTAAAAAAATAAAAGCTATTATAAATCCAATATAAACATCAGATATTTTTGGCAGTTTTTTACATCATTTATATTACCAGTATATAATGTATGCTTGTGTGTGAAAATTTCATACCACTTTCAAATTTAATTTTAATAAGTTTATATTTGTTCCATGTTTCATCCACATCCATTTCTTCTTTAACAGCTCTTCGATAAGATACACCTGCAGGCCAGAATAACAATTTTTTTTCTGTATCTATCCACTTTCTAGGCACAACATCTTCTATTTCCTCATAATTCTCTATCCAAACTGCTCTTGCCCAAATCATGGTGTAAAACTAAATCATAGTGTAAAAATTACATTAAGGTTTAAACTAAAAAAACTTTAAAACCTAAACAATAGTCCTTACAATAAGTTGGAATAACAGTAATAAGTTTCAATAACAAAAAGATAACTGTCTTTTAATTTATAAAGCAACAAAAAGAAATAAAAAAAACCATTAGGTAAATAACTATGGTGATAATGATGAGGAAGAGCGCTAATTTGTCTCAAGAAATTTACAAAACAAAGAAAAAAAATATATATTAAAAAAATGGTATTAAAATAACTGTCTGGGCTGTTTAAATTTTTTAATTTTTGTAAGCAACAGAAACAATGTTATAGAAAAAATAAATCTCTTAGACAAATGATTTTCATTTTACCTCATTTTTATTTTAAGTTTTTAATTTATTTACTGATTTTAAATGATTAATTTTTTTTAAGTTCAAAAAACTTTCAATAATAGCATTAAAATAAATTTTTAAATGAAGCTACAATAATCTCAATCAAAGATGATCTTTTTATTTAAAATTATAACCTTAAATTATAACCTTATAAAATTATAACAAACAAACAAGAGGAATAAATTAAAATTAAAGTATAAAAAGAAAAAATTATGAATCACTATTAACATATATATATATATATATATATATATATACATAATTTATAAAGCAACAAAAAGAAATAAAAAAAAACATTAGGTTAATAACTACGGTGATAATGATGAGGAAGAGCGCTAACTTGTCTTAAATTAAAATTTAAGTTTAAAAGGAAAAAATTATGAATTACTATTAAAATATATATATATATATATATATATATATATATATATATATATATATATATATATATATATATATATATATATATATATATATATCATTTACAGTATAAGATTCGGTATTAAACTTTGGTCACAAGATGAAAATTAATAAAACAGGATAAACATAAAATATTTCAACAAAAGTAATTTCTATTTAAAAAGATTTCAATTAATGTTCTATTTCATGCAACAAAGGAAAGCAAACAAGACCTTCCTTCCAAGGGAGAACAACAACTTTTCGTAGAAGACTTTCCGTTCCTAACTCAACCACTTTTACTCGAATTTCATCAATATTTGGTATAAAGAAAATTTTAAAGGTTTTAGACGCAATAGGCTGTGTGTATAAATCATCTTGTAAATCTAATCTAAACATTCTACATTTAAAAAAACCAGATGATAATTTCTCATCAACAAAACAAAATTGATTTTCTTCTATGTAAAAACATGAATTATTCTGCTTACTTGAAATTTTAAGTTTTCGAGGTTTTGTATTTAATAAAGATTGTATTCGTTCATATTGTTTGGCTATTTGAACAACAGGACTCTTTGAATTTTTTACTGCTTTTTTTAATGTCTGCATAAAATTTTCAAAGGGAAAACAGGAAATGTCATTTAGTGAACAATCAAATTTAACAACATCATCGCAAATATGAAGTAAAGAGTGAACATTGTAAACACAGAATGATTTTGTATATAAATATTTTGAATTTATAACAAAATAATTTAATAGTTCTCTAGCGAATGTAAGATAATGCTTTTTAAATCGATTGTCCTCATTTAAGAGAATCACCATTGCAACATGCAATGTTAGAAAATGATTGTAAATTTTTTTACTAACAACACCCTTTAAAACTAAGGGTCCAGTGTATAAAATAAATTGTCTAAATTCTGTAGCTTTCCATCGATCTAACTCCAAAAGGGAACGTGGTTCCCTTTTGGAGTTAGATCGATGGAAAGCTACAGAATTTAGACAATTTACGTGGCATGATGCTCGACAATTTACGTGGCATGATGCCATCTGAATTTGTCGAGCAAATTCAGATGGCATCATGCCACGTAAGCTTAACAGATTATCAGATATATTCTTTATTTGGGCATTTGAAAGTCTACAATGTTTTGGACCTGACTTTAAAAAGGTAAGTATGCGTCTTACTACACCAAGACAAACCATGTGCATATAATCCAAAACAAAATCAGAAATGCAAGATATTTCAAGTTGAGCTAAAGGAGTAAGAGATTTTTGATGTTGAGTGTACACAAAAGTATTAAACTCTTCAGTTAATCTCGGAGTTGATGGCTTGTTATCAATAAAAACAACTCTATGTTCTTCGTATAATCCTTTAACTTGGCATCGTTCACATGAGTAATATCCTGTATGACCTTGTATGCATTTAAGAAAACAGCGAGAAGGTGCATCACATATGAATGCTTTTAGTGTAACTTTAAATTTGTTATTATTATAATAAAAACCTTCATTAGTTAACAATAAAAATTCTTTAATAAAATCATTAAGAAAATCATCTAAGCAGTTTGGTTTAGCATCTCCACAGAAAAGTGCAATAATGAAAATATAGTTCTCTATTAGACCAAGTATTGGCCATAGTTGAAGATTAGAAGATTTAAAAAGAGGTAGTCCATCAACATTAATAGTAATAGATAATTCGGTACTTTGAAAAGCATTTTTTGTATTCATAAAATAATTTAAGCTATCAGCAATAGTAAAATACGCATAAGTTCCACCACACTTCTTATGTACTTTAACAACTTTAAAGGGTTTTAAAAGGGTTCTTGCATCATTTGGCAACTCTGAATGACCATATTTTCTAAGAATCATTATAAGTTCGTTTAAAAGACTTTGAGAAATTTTGCTTTTCGTTGACCACACTGCCAAATCCTCTGATAATGTTTCTGTTGTCAACAATAGTGATGCATTATAACAATCATAGTTCTCATATCTAAAACTTGAAGATGAACTGGTTACTCCGCATTCTTTAAAATCATTATTTAGGGCTTCAAAAGGTACCAAAGGTACAAAAGGTATTTCAGGCTCAACATAAAAAGCATTAAGTTCAAGATTCAAATCAGGTGTACTAATATTATTAATTTCATCTTTTTCATCTTCAAATTTCATAATAAAATCCAAGATACTTTTATTTAGGCGACGACGCTTCGTTCGATTTTCAGTTTCCATAATAAAACTTTAATAAATCTTTTTGCTGGAATAATGGTTTAGAAAATTAATATTGGTTGAAGCAAAACTTAACTTTATATAAAAAAAACTTTTTGCTGCCGTGAAAAATTTCGCGTCTTTAAAAAGATAGTTAAAAGTCTTCTTTAATAACGTCTTTAATAAGATTGTAAAAAATCCATAAATAGACGTCTTACAAAGACGCGAAATATTTTTACGACCAAAAAGTTTTTTGAAGACGTCTTTAAGACGTACATATGATAGGATAGATTAGCCAAAAAAAAGGGTGTATAAGTATACGTTAATTAGACGTCTTTAAAACGTCAATCAAAGACAAGACCATTTAAGGACCCAATTAAGACGGTCTTAAAGACGTCTTGTGTTTGCTGGGTTAACTGCAAAAATGATGTACAAAAAATGTGGCGCATAATAAAAGAGGTGAAAGGTAAAAAAAGCCTAAGCACTTATGGATTTCCCTTTCCAGCACACATGTAAGCGTTGAACCAACGTTGAAAACCAGACCCAGCGCAGAAAAAGAGTTACAGTCACAAAAACAACGTGCTTTCAACGTTGAATCAATGTCTGTTTTTGTATACTAAATCGCGGTAATTTAAAACGTTGAATAAGCGTTGAAATTGTAACGTAATTTAGCTTCTCAAAATAAAACGTTTATATAACGTTGAATCAACTTACGCAAAAACCCCCTTTAAAAACATTTTAAAGTATATGCTTTATCAACGTTAAAAACAAACCGCTTTTTAAGCATTACATTTTCAACGTATAAATTTAAACGTATTTTATCTTCTCAAAAAAATGCGTTTATTAAACGTTGAAATATCAAAGCAAATAATCACTGTAAAAACGTCGCAAAGGTAATGGTTTATCAACGTTTGACATTAGCTGCTTTTTCAACGAATTTAAACGATTTAAAAACAACACTTTATTCAACGTTAGTTGAAAATGTAGTAATTAAAAAACGTTGAAAAAGTGTTACTTTGCCAATGTTAATTAAACGCTGTTTTGACAATGTTGAGAAAGCGGAACATTGAAAATTATTGTCTCAATAACTAGCCATTACAAAAATAATATGCCGTAATGGAAAGGCAAGGAAAACTTGATAGAATGCATGCATACGGTATAAAGTTTTTTTTAATAAAGTTATATTTTATAGCCTATTTTATTGTGACTAATTTAAAACTTTTAGATTTTTTATTAAAATGTATATAAAGTACATAAATCTCAGGGTAAATTAGATTTAATCAGCTTATTTTTGTCAATGTTTTATTTTATTTCAAGTTGACGATTTTAATAAAATGCTCAACTTTTTTAAATATTTATTTCTTAGTTATAAATAGTACTTAGTTTTAATACAATTCACATTTATAAAATATTATCAAAGTTAATAAAACATAATAAGTCAGACTAAATTAAGTCTGTTAACAGAATAAATTTTTTAACTTATTTAAACATACATACATACATACATACATACATACATACATACATACATACATACATACATACATACATACATACATACATACATACATACATACATACATACATACATACATACATACATACATACATACATACATACATACATACATACATACATACATACATACATACATACATACATACATACATACATACATACATACATACATACATACATACATACATACATACATACATACATACATACATACATACATACATACATACATACATACATACATACATACATACACATACATACATACATACATACATACATACATACATACATACATACATACATACATACATACATACATACATACATACATACATACATACATACATACATACATACATACATACATACATACATACATACATACATACATACATACATACATACATACATACATACATACATACATACATACATACATACATACATACATACATACATACATACATACATACATACATACATACATACATACATACATACATACATACATACATACATACATACATACATACATACATACATACATACATACATACATACATACATACATACATACATACATACATACATACATACATACATACATACATACATACATACATACATACATACATACATACATACATACATACATACATACATACATACATACATACATACATACATACATACATACATACATACATACATACATACATACATACATACATACATACATACATAGATATATATATATATATATATATATATATATATATATATATATATATATATATATATATATATATATATATATATATATATATATAGAGGCATATTGTGTGTTTAATAAACACATGTTGTTGTTTTTTTACAAAATATTGGCATGTCTAATCATTTTTATTGAAAAATATAAAAGTTGGTATAATGGTTCGGAAATTTTAGTAAAGAATTATTATCAATATTTAAGAGTTTCATATTTTATGAGGAATTTAATATTTATATAGTTCAACATTTATTTATTATTTTATTAAGAGTATGTATACTAGTTTTTTTTAAGTATCTGTATACAGACCTATGAAGTCTCTCCCATTTGGCAGGAGTTTTCTGAATTTTGAAGAGAAATTTATCTCCAACCAGGATTTAAAAATAATTTAAAAACTTTCTTTTCCTCATTAGTAACTTTATATACACGAAGCTTCTAATTTTTTAAATTGTTTTTATTTTATAAGTTAAGAAAAATGGTTAAAAATTGTTAAAAATTGGTCAACACAAACATAAATATATAAAAGTATATCTATACAGAATAAATGTAAATAATGTATATATAAAGTTTTATATATATACATTGTTTACATAAACATTAGGTTTGAAGCAGAGGCAGTTGTTCCATCTTGTTCGAAAAAAGATGGATGGTTATTTTGGCCAACTTTGTGTTCATGCAATAAAAGCTACCTATAATAATTTTCTGATTGTTGATTCCTGCAACAAGCTTAGACTTAAAAGAGTTAAAGTAACTGGATGTCATTAATTTTTACAGTAATCATTACTATTATAATTGTTTTATATGAATAAAAAAACTATTATAGTTTTATATTAACGGTGAAGTAGTATATCAAATAAACTATTTTATTTTTATTTCGGAATAAGTAATATTTTGAATTTGTTTATTGTATTGTTACTGCCTAGATATATATTGTAATCTGTTTACACTTATTCTAAATTTTTGTTTTTACATAATTTTGTTTATGTTTATTTTACTAAATAATTACTAATAGATAAAGAAGTATGTGCAGGATTTAATTTCACGACTAAAGAGGACTCCAAAGAATAATGTAAGTAATTATGTTTGTAAATAATTTTGTTTCTCTTTGGATTTAACTTTTCTTTGTTTTTTATATAGTAAAGAATAAAAAAAATTTAATATTAATTATTGGTCAAAGCTGATTTCAATAATACTGTCTAAATTTTTTGACTTGTGGTAGTTTGATTACCAGTATAAATTTACTTAGTAAAGTTCTGGTGGATCAAAGATCAAGGAATGATTTGGTTTTACCTAGTTTGCATCTTATGAACAAAGTACATAATATGATTTAAATTAATGATTTATAGTTACACCTATTGAAGTAAGGTTTATTTAGTTAATCAACGTATGGATACATGACTATTTTTAGTTGCAAAACTTATATATATATATATATATATATATATATATATATATATATATATATATATATATATATATATATATATATATATATATATATATATATATATATATATAAATATATATATATATATATATATATATATATATATACATATATATATATATATATATATATATATATATATATATATATATATATATATATATATATAGTTATATATATATATATATATATATATATATATATATATATATATATATATATATATATATATATATATATATATATATATACAAATATATATATATATATATATATATATATATATATATATATATATATATATATATATATATATATATACATTTATATATATATATATATATATATATATATATATATATATATATATATATATATATATATATATATATATACATATATATATATATATATATATATATATATATATATATATATATATATATATATATATATATATATACTATATATATATATATATATATATATATATATATATATATATATATATTTATATATATTTATTATTGTTATTATTATATATATTATCACTATATAATATATAATAATAATTATAGGGTTTTTATTTGTCAATATAGGAATAAAAACAATACTGGAATATTTTTTTGTAGTAAATAAATGAATTTTGTTGTCTAACAAAAATTGTGGATTTTAAGTCTAGAATTTAAATCCATAAGACACAGCAAGCCTTAGGTTATTAGAGAAGAGAAATCAGATTTAAAATTTGCTGCTTGTTCTAAGCAATTAAAAAGTGAAGATTTATTGTCAAGACAAGAGTATAAAGTGGAGTTATAAGCAAATAGAGCCACTTTAGATTTCATTATGATTGTTTTTGTAGATAAAAAATAATACAGGAGCAAATATAGAACCTTAAAAATACTTAAAGTAAAGAGGGTAGGCCTTCAATAATAACTTCACTACTGTAGTTAGAAAGAAGTAATTTAATTATCTCAAAACCTTTTCATAGAAAATTATAAGAAACTAATAACAAATTGAAGAAGAATCGTAGGATACTTGGAGAGGTCAAAGTGTTTTCTAGAGATTTGAAAAATTGGAACCACGTATTTAGCACTTTTTTAAAGTTTAGAAAAAATTATAGATAGTTCTGGAGAACACTTTTTTAAGACTATGATGGAAATCTTGTCTAAAGCACACATTGTAGAAGTATTTAATTGAGAATTAGTTTTAGTATTGGAAGCTAGAGTAACTTCAATGTTTAACAATGGAATAATTTAAAGTTTAGCAAAAATTATTTACTGTCAGGAATAGTATGACCGATATATTCCAGAGTCAAACTAGAGTAAGATTTCATTGTAAATAGCTCTGTTTTACTCTGGGGTAAAGTAAA